CTGCATATATGAGTTGTTGCATATATGTGTTCATAATCTTATTATATCCCGCTTAGAGGGGTGTGAGGTAATGAGGTTACTGAAATTGTCTGGTTACACACTTGTTCCATCTCCCAAGTCTGCCTTAAGACAGGTCTCAGACAAGCACAGATGACACAACTGCACTGGAAACTATGGCATTAAGCTGACTCTGCTGCCAACAGCTTTATTTCCTTTATCCTTGCCCACTTACTTAATCTCACAGTACTTTTGATTGTCCTGCTACAATTCTTTTTTGTCTTTGGGTGCTGGATTGGACTGGAGTATCGATTCGGGGTTAAAATAACACGGCAGAAGGACTTCGAGCTGTCTTAAACCAGCTGCTAGCTCATCATGAGCCTGTGTAAACAGTTACCCTGGCACCGCAGAGGAGCTGCGATGTGAAAGGTGGAGGGATTGTGAGATGCAGAATAGATTTTTCTCTACTCTTCAGTAGTTCTGACTTCAGGAAACTACTTGACTCTCAAGTAGAGTTGCCAGGCCTTTGCTCAGAAACCATAATCTCCTTTGAGAAGGAAAATGGGCATCCGTCTGTCAGCCTTTCTTTCTCGTCTCCATGCATTTTTCTTGTGTTGTGATGATTCTTTTTTAACTTTTGTGTCTTTAAATTTTTTCTTCCGTAGTTCTTGCCTTGCATGAGGATGCACTGCGCTTATTTTTACTGGTGTGCTTCCACTATAAATACTGAAATCCAGTATTTGGAACGCAGGACTTTGCTAGTGAATTCTAACTCTTCCTATACTTAAGTCATTCAGCTGTCACTTCAGATGCTGCTGAAATAGAAACCACTGATGCTCTTCCAGTTAAATTGCTGAGGTGTAATTCATAGTAATTGACTTATTTTTAATAAGAGCCATTTAATGACTGTTAATTCTTTAAAAATAAAAAAAAGTATTAGACTAGGTAGCCAGTAGCAATTCAAATCTAGTTGTACCTTCTGAAATCTGCAGTGTTACGAACTGGCTTGATGAACCACTCAAATAGATTAGTAACCAAGGAGATGAGTAAACTGGTTTTACAGGCTCCGTTTGGCCTGACAGGGAAGGTACTTTCTAAATAGTATGTTCTGGAAGCATGATGGGGAAGGACTTAAAAACATCCTTTGTGTGGGCTTCTCCAGGACATGTGTGTGAGAATGGTGACAAGCGTCAGCTGAATGGGTCAAGTGTTTCCAGTGTCATGACAGTAGTTAAGAACTTGCCCTTTCATATCCAGTGAAGGGGGAATTCTGAATAAAAATAAAACCCTGAAGCTGCATGACTTCTTGACAGCCTTGAAATCTGCTGGTAGCCATCACTTAGCCCTATGTTTTAAGAGTGCCACTTCTATGGCAAGAAACTGATCTTGTCTCTGAAGCTCATTTCAATTCGGTTTCGTTCCTACTTGATAAAAGGGAAGCCCATGTAGTGCATCCACTCCAGGTGTCTGTTTTCAGTGCTCTGCTATAGCTTCTGTAAATTCCAGGGGAAAATTCATCAGCCTTTTGACAATCAGGTGAACAGTGCTTAAATGTCAGCTTTAAGTGTTCTGGTGGAAATGAGGGGTGCGCTGAAGTAGAATGGAGACGTCAGAAGTTCTTGCCTATTATGAAAGGATTCCTTTGTTAAAGGCTTTGGGTAGTTGCATGCTCAGAAATACATGAACCTTCAGAAATATTACCTGGTTAAACCTAAATGAGGGAAGCACAGGCAGAGTCTGAAATGGCTAATGCTGGTAATTGGTTGGAAATTGGACACTTCTTCAAGGGGAAGATCTGATCATAACAGAGTAGGTGGCTGCGAGTTTGGAGGTTAGACTGTACGTTAGGTGACTAATCGAACACTCTTACTGAAAAAATGATTTATGCCTGTTTGGATAAAATCTGCGTTTCTTCTCTCTCCCCTTCCCCTCCCTTTCTATCTTCTATTTAGGAATAACCTAATTTACTAGGGCATAGTCATGTTTTTATGTTGTGTCTCTAAGGATTGTGTGAAGTGAAGTTGAAATTTTCTCCTGTAGCAGTATATCCATTATGGGTAAAGTAGCTTTTTAAATATCGAAAATGCGTGCCTCAATTAAATTGCTCTGCTAAGAATATGATATCTTTTTTATTTTTTATGATTTAGTTTATGTATTGTTACAAATTAAGTAAATAAGGAGCTTGGCATGACAACTGGCAGTTGGAGGAGATGCTGCCAGTCTCTGCTCAAGGTGTATGAACAGTGGCTTATATTGAATTTGGGAATGATTTAATACGTAAGAGGTGTCCTAAACAGCTTTTTGTTGGGATATAAACCTGTGAATACTGCTTGCCAAAGAGGTGAAGAGATGAAACTGGATTAGCTTCTCCTTATGCCTTTAGCTTTCTCTTTTTTTGAGGAGCGGGGAATTAAAATTTGCTTGGGAACTTGAACAAATAGTACTTCTACCTTGAGTTCAGGTTTGACTGAGCGTGAAGTGATAAATGCAGACCTACAGGGTGGGTGCCTGTGGTTCTGTGAGGAGCACAGATGGGTAGTGGCACAGCTGCTGCCCCTGCTCTGTTGGTCACTGGGAGAATGGTTTCACTAGGATGCTTTGGAAGAATTTCTGAAGGAACCCCTCCGGCAGGACGGGGCTGTGTGGCTTTGCCCCTTGTGTGCTGGCACTTACCAAAGTCCATTTGCTGCTGACAGATATTCCCGAAGGGTTGTAGTCAGGGTGGAATTGTGAAGTAGGTAATTACTACATTATGGAGTTAGCGCTGGCAGGAAAGTTAGGGGGGATGATTTAATGCTTTCACCAAAACTTGCTGGTTGGCTGGTGGTGAGGTTACTTAAGGGATTACTTGTGTGCTAAATCATTAATATCCTTTGCACAGGCTTGGGAGGAGGTACGCAGAAACCCGTTCCTCTGACAGGAATTGACTTATCTAACCTTGCTATATTTTTAAGATTAATTTCCTTGTATCACTTGCCAAATCATGAAGTGGTCATTCTATCTGCTTAATATAATTTGAAAGAAGGTGTAAAACTTGGGGTAAAATCTTCCTGAATTTAGTTCCATTAAAAATGTTTGTGGAGGCCCTGTTGATAAGGTAAGACAAAATGTAACCCTTCCCTCAGAAGGGTGTCCTTGTGCGACCTTATCTGTGGTTGCTTCAATCATACAGGACACATCCAGAGCTCTACGGATCACTTTTTCCACTGAAATTTCAGGTACTTGTTTTCTGTACTGCTTTTATGCTGTGGGCGTGAGTACGTTCAGAGGACATACTGTGTATGCAAGTGGAACTTAAATTTCCAAGGGTGCTGACATTAGCCTGACAGTTTTAATTTGTTGGTTTTATGTTGTGGTTCTCCCATTAGTACTAAGGGCTGTGAGGTCAGTGACTGGTTTCAGTTTTGGCTGTACGCTATGCATTAAGCAAACAAGCTTTACTCACGAGTAACAACACTTGAAGGCTTTTGTCGGCTGTTGGTGCAGTGAGCGGGGTCCTTTTGGCTCAGAGGCGTTTCGGTGCAGTTGCCCGAGCTGTGAGGGGAAGGGCTGTGAGCCTGCATTTAGACCGTAATCCTCAAGGCCATCACTATTGTTAGAAAACTGGCTGCAATTGCATGTTGCTGTAGTGACAAGCTGGACGTGACCTCAGCACGGGTCTTTTTAAAATACAGTTTTGCTGTAGTTATAAAACATCCCCTCTGTTGTTAGGAGTAAGTTAAAGAATAATCCAGGAATGGTGGATCTGGTATGCGACGTAGATTTGGGGTATTGGGTAGTGCTGATAAGCCTTTAAGACTGTACATTCTTTTAGTTGCCTAAACATGCTTTGGAAAGCTGAAAGTTTATTTTCTAGCGTGATCTTATGCCCCTACAGGCGCTATTAACTCTGCTTGAATTATGTTTGTAAGTCTCTGGGGCTACAGCCTGAGGCAGGAGAGTAAGGGAAGGAGGGGATATTTGGTTTTATACTTGCTTTGAAAAAAGTGTTAGTTTCAGTTACCACTGTGGTTTTGGAAGGAAAATTTGGAATGTGATTCAAATAAAACTGAGCAGCATGCCAGGACTGTTTTTGTATAAACCTAAAGGTGCAGTGATCTTGTAGTTTTTCTAGCAAGAAAGTAAAATTAAACCCCATTATATTTACAAGATCTTTCGAGATACAGCTTGCCAAGGTCTACCATATTCTAGGTGTCACGATGTGCTGCGCACCTTATAAGTTAGTTGAAGTGTGATATTTTGATTCTATAAAGCCTCAGTTAACAGATATTTTTCTTTGGTCGTCCTGTTAAATTAGCGGTCGAAAGAGAGGAATCAAATCAACTGTCTGTTAGATAGTAAGTAATGTTCTTCTGGGTCTGCCTCAACTGCTTATAGACAGTAGTATCAATAACTGTTGGCAGTAATTGCAGAGTAAAACCTGGGAAAAGGGTTTGATGAAGGAAAATGCCAGTGTCCCACAGTTGAAAGGATGAAAAATATTGAACAGGAGATGTGGGATTGATTACTCCGTAGATTAGTCTCTGCTTGAAAGAGCCAGCTCATTGTTTATCAGATCCTGAACTGAATGGAAATTTCAGTTTCTGCGTGCTGTGTTTGAAGGCATTCATAAATGAGAAATGGGGTTTGTGTTTATGCTTTTGCAGGTACATAGGTTATGGTGTTGAGCACACGTGTCTGTTCTGCTCTTGGACTGTGACAGTATAAACATAAAGTTATAACACATCTGCAGAACTTGCACACATGGTCCTTCACTCAGTTAATGTCTGTTTCGTATTAAGTACTTCAGCTTTATTTTTATTCCTGTCCAGCTTTTAGAACTGTCTCAACCAGGCAGATACAATAAATAAGAGCTGAAAAGATAAGTTCACACTTTTTTCCCAGTGCTGTGACTGGGAACTTCACCTGTTGTCTTGGATGCCTGGGTTTGTACCGAAAAGCAGCACTTCGCTTCACACGCAGCACTGGCGTGACCTCTTTGCCTTGTCTTATTTATTCAGATCATGGAGCTGAAATGGCTGCTTTATGTGACCCTGCTCACTCTTGGGACTCTTACTGTGCGGGCACATGATCTGGATGATGACAACGACGGTGATGATGTAGTTGATATTGAGGATGACTTGGACGATGGCATTGAGGAGGTAGAAGAGTCAAAGCCTGACACGAGCACTCCTCCTCCGACCCCAAAGGTTTGGCTTGGAACTTCTTGAAAATTTAGTGTAGAGGAGGCACACGAGCTTATGTTTTTATTTCTTAAGAGAATGTGTTTTGAAAGGTGCGTAAATGTCTCTCTTCTCCAATAGGTTACCTACAGGCCCCCAGTCCCAACCGGTGAGGTGTATTTTGTAGAGTCCTTTGATAAAGGAACTCTGGATGGGTGAGTATAATCTGAAGGATGATTCAGTACAGCAAACGATTAAAAATTTTGGTGAAAGACAATGAAACCCTTTCTAGAGCTTGTGTTATTCAAAACTGAATCAAAGGGCAGTGTTTGGTGCAGATTATGGCAGTGACTGCTAAGCTGGCTGTTACAAGTGCTGTGCTAAACTAGTATTTCCTTGAGTTCCAGTAACAAGGAGGAGGTGGGCCATATATGTAATGTTTTAATCCTCATCTGACTTTTCACTTTCTTCGTTAGAGGATGGTGAGATACTATTATTTTTTACAAGAGCCAAGACACTGAGGCCGTGATTCTCCTTTGGGGATGGGGTGAGAAGTGGCAAATGCAGAAAACTTTGCAGGCTTAGGGATAGAATACCTCAGAGGGGATCAAGACACGGGAATGTAGTCCTAGGACAGCAAGGGGTATCTTAAGGGTGGGATTTTGTGTGTGTGTATGTGAAAGTATATTTTTTTTTTGATCATTGGGTGTTTGTCTTCTAGGTGGATCCTTTCCAAAGCAAAAAAAGATGATACGGATGATGAGATTGCCAAATATGATGGTGAGTCCAACCCAGGGTTTGGATAATAGATGTTACTGATATCTTTTGTCGTACCTTACGAAGAGGTGCGAGTCTTAGATTCCCAGTTAAAATTACATCCACTGAAGAAAGTGGATGGAGTCTTTATACACCTGGCTAAGAATATAAAGTGCAGTTCTGATTAAGATGAAATATCCACATGGAGATTTTAAAATAATTTTTAGGGAAGATGTGATGCGAGTAACTTGATAGAGTGTCCTGCGGGGTGTTATTTCAGAACGATGCCTATCTTGTTCAAAAGTGGCCTGAGAAAAGACTGTCTGAACAAGTTTTGATAAAGTTTTGTTAACTTCTCTCCAGGTAAATGGGAAGTCCAAGACATGAAGGACACTAAGCTTCCAGGAGACAAAGGGCTTGTGTTGGTAACCCGAGCCAAGCATCATGCAATTTCATCCAAACTTTCAAAGCCTTTTGTATTTGATACCAAACCCCTTATTATACAGTAAGTGACAGATAACTTAGTGTTCTGTTATTTAAGGGGTGACATGGTAGCAGGCTGATGTTGATTCCATAACTGAGCTTTTGTTGACTGGGGACCTAGATGACACAAGATACTGCAACCTATTATTATACTGTTGAAACAAGAGTAAAATAGCAACCTGTATTCCCAAAGTGGGAAATTAGGAACAGCATGGCTCCCTCCAAAACCTGAAAAAGAACAAAGTCTCTGAAAACTTGGTAATCTATCTGAGGGCTTGAATTCACTTGATTTAATTATAGTAACAAGCTGAGGCAACTGACTTTTGAACTGATAATTGTGAAGGTCCATGTCCTTTTGGAGAGAAGCTGGTTTTGTGCGTGGGTCAGTGCACTTCCTTATGCAGTAAACTGCCCCGGTTTCCAAGGTGGAGAGGACAGAGTGGTAAAGATGTACTCGTGTCCTCCTTCCTTAGTCTTGGTTCATCTGTTACGGAAGATGAACAGCTTGCCTAGCTCTGGCCACGACTGATGTAGAAGAATCTACTTGCATGAGTGTTAGACTAGTAAGTCAGGAAAAAATAATCATTCAGTGGGAATGCTGAGTTGTGGATTATTAGCTACTTCATCAATTTTAAACAGAGAGTAAGCCAATTTATATTTGCACAAGATAATGAATTGGTCACTTTGCTTTGCGTGACTGTTTAGTTTTGGCTCAAAATACAAGGCTAAAAATAAATCCCAGTGGTCATCCACTCCAGCTGCTGGCATTGAGAGAGGATCAAGCATACTTAGCCTATTCCTGATGGAGATATTTAGGCTTTTTCAGACTCATTGGCATCCCCAAGTATACTTTTGTATGTTTATAACCCTAGAGGGACTTCTCCAATTGTTGTTGCTTTGATAGTCTTGCAAATTGAGTTGTCTGTGTGCCATAGTAGTTGTGGGGAAAGTAATTGGTGTGTCTTAATCTCTGTTGCAGTGTCTTGCGCGCTGGAAGGCTTTTTCTTCCTTCTCTCTGCTTCTAGATTGTAATCATCTAGACCAGCACTTAATTCATTTAATCTTTTCTGTCAGTTTAAGTCTTTAAATCCTCAAATTTTCTTGTTTCTCAGCCCTTAAGAATATTTGCTTGATCCTTAGAATTACAGCATGTTTCTTAATTTTCACTGGGCACGTGGTTTAAAGCAAACAAACCACATAAATAATTTGTACTTGAAAATTGTAGTTGCGTATTACAGAAGTAATTTTTCCTTGTGTATAATGTGTTCTCCCCTTCTCTGTCCAAAACTAAAATTAGGTATGAAGTAAACTTCCAAAATGGAATAGAGTGTGGCGGGGCCTATGTGAAATTGCTTTCAAAAACTCCTGAACTGAACCTGGTGAGTAGTGCTACTACGTGTGAATATTAGCTGTGAAAAAAACCCTTTTCATTTTGCTGCTTCTTGAGGAAACCTCTTCAGTAAAGACAGTGGGGTATATTTAAGGCCTAATCTCCAGAGTGCTTTGCACTCAGCAATTTCTGTCCTCTTTGAGTGAAACCTCTGGAGTTTCCTAGTAGCTGAGCAGTTCTAGACCTTTGCTAAGTCTGCAACACTTCAGGTTTCCCTGGGTTCTAGAACCAAAGAGGAGGTATCTTAACAGGAGTAGCCAGTGTACGAGGAGAAACCTTCTCAGAAAGCTGTTGCCCAGAAGGAAGATATGTTTCATCTTCAACAGAGTAATGCAAATACACCTAAAAATATACCTTGTGTTTGTCTTGCTTTTGACATGTGAACCCACTTACGAGTTACTGGGTATATTTAAAAAAGAAAAAGTATTGGGAGGTTGAACTGGCTGCAGCCTTACGTGTTCAGCTGCACATGCTAGCCATGACCCTTGAATGTGTTGTCTAAAGACTGTGATCAGTGGGAGAGGCCCTGATACGGATCCTAAGGACTTCCTTAAGAAAAATTCTCTCCTCTCAGTGGTGTGCCTTCCTCAGGTGGCCTGGCCTGTTTGGACAAAGCTTAACTGCTGGCTCACCTTGTGTAGGCTTGTGAGGCCTGTGGGTGTTCTTTAGCCATCTTCCTAGACTTTATAGGAAGTACTTCTTATGACTTGTCACCCATCTTTCTCCTTTCTTTCTGCAGTCTCATTAGAGTTTTATTATTAATACAGATTTTGAATTGTGATTTTTTTTTTAAAACACCAAGCCAAGGAAAAAAATGAAAAACCCAAACTGAAACCACCCAGAAGACTTGACTCAAGTCTAACTGGTTTCATCTGTGCACTGAGTTTTAAGATAACACTAGTAAGAACAAATAGACTTGCTTGCAGTGTTCCATAGTGAGATTATTATATCCAGTTAGCTCTCAGATTAAGACAGTAAACCTGTTTATACATGTGTAAATACAACTTGGCCTCCCTTTTAATGCTGCTTATCATTGCGTGTGAAAGAAACTCACCAGACTAACAAGTCACTCGTTATTATCAGTAACTGATATTTCTATATTGATAGCTTTTAAAATCCTTTATTGTAATGCAGAGATACATTTAAATGTTGTGATTGTCACTTACACTTATCTTTTTGATAACGCTTGAATAACTGTTGTTTTCCATCAGGAAAATAGAGACCAAGGGTGCAAAATCCAATAGCTGGGATAGTTCTGCTGCTTTCTCTAGAGGCTTGTATTCACCATACAAGTTTTAGTGTGGTTTGATAGTCCAAATTGCAGAATAAGTTTTAATAAATTGGGAGTTCTTATGCCAGACAGTGACTTAAATTCTGTTTCAAAATAGTGAAATGAAGTTTTGTGTTGTTTGTAAAGGATCAGTTCCATGACAAAACTCCCTATACGATCATGTTTGGCCCTGACAAATGTGGAGAGGACTATAAATTGCACTTCATCTTTCGGCACAAAAACCCAAAGACGGGTAAATATGAGGAGAAGCATGCAAAGCGTCCAGATGCAGACCTGAAGACTTACTTTACTGATAAGAAGACCCATCTTTATACTCTAGGTATGGTGATTGTTACTGTGCATGTTAATAACTACTGTGCTTCCTAATAAATTGAACCAGGTGAACAACTGAAATTGTATCAACATACCATACAAGGCTCTTGTTTCCTTGCAAGAAGTCTTGATTTGTGTAAGAAAGGTCGTGAGACCTTGAATTTAATAATTAAAGGACAACCGAATTTCAGAATGGTTGTGAGTAATGCGATACACTAAGTATATCCAGAATAATTATCAATGTTTATAAACTGCTTCAATGCTGCCCCCCCCAGTAATTTGGGGTATGCCGGGCTTTAGATTTAGAGGGGTAGCCTTTTTTCTTGCTGCTTTCATGGTACCAAAGTCAGTGGTTCTTAAAAACCACAATGTCTGGTCTGGTCCATTAGCTGTGATTAAAATCTTTCAGGGAGTACTCAGGAGAATCTCTAGCTTCTCCTGCTATAGAGGCAGCAATGGATCGAGGAGTGAGATTAAAATCCTGTGAGTAGTGAGGAGTCTTATTCTTGAGTAGAATGTGAATACCTGCATTCTTACTACTAAAGCAATCCTTACCATGCCAAAGTCAACTTGCTGTGGTAACTGGTAAATCACCCTGCAAGCTTCTTTGTGCTTTTAGCATATTTAAAGTAGGACTCCTGCAATGAGTCTTTTTTCTCACAAGGTGAGATGTGATACGCTTTACTGTAAGGAGAAAGATTCTTACCTGTTCTTTAAAACAGTTGTTGGATAGGTGGTAGCTTGGATTGCTGAAGTTTTAGTTTTAGTGGAGACAAGGGATGCTCTACGATGCCTGTGTTATATCATATACTTACTAACTAATCAGCTCTTTTTCCTTACAGTCTTGAATCCCGATAACAGTTTCGAAATACTGGTTGATCAAACGGTTGTCAACAGTGGGAATTTGCTAAATGATATGTCTCCTCCTGTGAATCCGCCCCGAGAGATTGAGGACCCGAATGACCAGAAGCCTGAGGACTGGGATGAGAGACCAAAAATTCCAGACCCAGATGCTGTTAAACCAGATGACTGGTAAGTTGTTGGACGGGTGGAATTGAGGGAGATGTTGGCCTGATAATTTGGCCCTGGTCAAAAAGCCTTTCTCAGAGAACTTACAAAAGGTTTTGGGTCTCACTTGTCATCCAAATTACAATCGTTGTGGGCATCCGAGCAGCAGTTTGATAGACAAAGGCAAACAGGATCCATGTCCTTCTGGAATTACGGTTTAGTGCTCCCATTACTGTGCTGGTCACAGATAAAGGTTTTACTGAAACATCTATGCTAGCTGATGCTTCCATCCTTGAGATCAAAAGATGAGCTGCAGAAGGTATAAATGCAAGATGCATGTAGTTGTTTGTGTAACGCAGAGTTACAAGTTACTGACATACCTGACAACCTAAATCAGAAACCGATACTGAGTTTGTGTCTTTGAACCTATGCTTTGTGAACTACGTCCTCAATTTGAAGCTCAAATGGTGTTTGCAGTGACCACTAAGATACTAGATTTGCTGTAATATGCCCTTTCTAGGTTGGTATTAGAAGGTAAGTAGTATCACCTTCCAGCTGGTGCTGTGCCTGTCCATGGGGCACGTGTAAGATAATTTTGTCCTGAAATCATGGTGTTAGCTTACTGTATGAGAAGGGAAGCTGGCTGGTTGTCTAGATCTGTGGGCTTATTTGGAGTCTGCAGAATCAAGCCCTGGGGTTGAGAACTTGTTGTGTGTGTTAATATATAATATTTGTTCTCAAGGGATGAAGATGCTCCTGCAAAGATTGCAGATGAAAATGCTGTGAAACCAGAGGGCTGGCTGGATGATGAGCCAGAATATGTTGCAGACCCTGATGCTGAGAAGCCTGAAGATTGGTATGTTTATTGCCTGTTGCAAATAACAGCAGATATTTCATGGCTTTAGTACTGGCTTTTGCAAGTATAAGAATAGCTAGTTCATTGTTGCTCGCTAACAAAGTTGTTTGATTCAGACTTTATCCCTTCAAAAGCAGGAGGCAGAGTTGCTCTAAGGAGTCTTGTTATCTTAAGTTCACCATGTTTAGAAGGGTGGTAGGGGAGGCTGTGCTCTGGGACTGGCTTTTGTTGGGTTTCTGTGTTTCTAAGCTACTTGAAATCCTCATTCGTTCTGCGGTGCCTGTATCTACAGGCCTATGCTATACAAAGTTTCAGTGTCTCTGTTTTATGGTAGGAACTTTAATTTTCCCAGAAATCAGACCTCATCTGAGCCTTATTTTGTATAAAATCAAGGGACAGACTTCATAACTGAGTCTCTCTTTTCAGGGACGAGGATATGGATGGTGAATGGGAGGCACCTCAGATTGCAAATCCTAAGTGCGAGACAGCCCCTGGCTGTGGCACCTGGCAGCGACCAATGATTGACAATCCAAACTACAAAGGCAAATGGAAGCCTCCTATGATTGATAACGTGAACTATCAGGTTGGTGTTTTCATTGCTTAAACTTGCTGGCCAATGCAGCACTTCTCTTAGAAAAAGCAGAATGAGCAGGTGTTCTTAAGAATACAGATACTGTCATGATTGTATTGTGTTTCAAGTGGACAGATTCGAAGTGCTGCACTTCAGGTTTTGGGAATCAATTTTCATTTGTGCTACAATGATGAGTTGCACCTGTAGACACTAATTAAGTGCGATAGATTGGTCTTTTCAGCTCATTTTGAAGAGAGAGAAACTAAAAATTGTATTATAGCAGGTGAAGCTGAATGTTTTCTGTCTTTGCTAGGGTATATGGAAACCTAGGAAGATCCCAAACCCAGATTTCTTTGAAGACTTAGAACCTTTCAAGATGACTCCCTTCAGTGCTGTGGGACTTGAGTTATGGTCAATGACTTCTGACATCTTCTTTGACAACTTTATCATCTGTACTGAGAGAGCTGTGGCTGATGATTGGGCCAGTGATGGATGGGGACTGAAAAAGGCAGCCGATGGTGCTGCAGAGGTGAGAAATAAAGGTTTAATTGTGTGCTTCACACCCCTGCTGCAACAGTGGGAATATTGCTGCTGTTCTCTCCCACTGTCTTTATCACTATATAACCAATATGGACCAAGGGGTCCAATCATATTGAAACCTCAGTTCCCAGTTATAATGTAGTAACGGTTGCTGTAAGTACCAATGAGTACTTGTTGCTTTTTTGTGAGGCTTTTTCTCTGACAATTGGACTGTTAACTTTAGCCTAATTCTCAATTTGTAAGCTATGGAAATAGTACTTGTGTACGCTTAGCTTCTTTCTTTGAGGTATGAATTATAATGTTCGAATTTGCAAAAAGCCTATTTGAAAATTCTGTAGCTTAAATTTCACTGCTACACCTTGCTATATGGGATCAAATTTGGCTTTTTTTTTTTTTCTTATAGCCTGGTGTTGTGGGCCAGATGATGGCAGCTGCTTAAGAGCGTCCCTGGCTTTGGGTAGTCTACATCCTCACTGTGGCTCTTCCAGTGTTCCTTGTTGTCCTTTTCTGCTGTTCTGGGAAGGTATGCATTTCCTCCAGTAATGAGTTAGTCTAATGTTTAAAAAGAGATTCAGCAAAACGTACCTGAAGGTCACAAGTAACTGTCTGGCATTGACACATTTTTGTTTTTTGTTTAGAAACAGACAAGTGCTGCAGAATACAAAAAGACTGATGCTCCACAGCCTGATGTGATGGATGAGGAGAAAGAGGAAGAAAAAGACAAAGGAGACAAGGAAGAGGAGGAAGAGGAAGAAGCAAATGAGGAGAAGCTAGGTAGGTAAACTAGATAATCTTGAAACAGTGTGAGTTTTCTCTTGGATAGGCTGAAACAGCAGGGCTGGCAGACAGGGAAGAAAGCCAATGGTGAAATAGAGAGAAGTGTGAATGAGATTTTTTTTTTTTTACTTCCCCTAGAAGAGAGGCAGAAAAGTGATGCTGATATAGGAAGTGCTAGTCAAGAAGAGGAGGAAGAGGAGGACGATGAGGACAGGAAACCTGCATCAGAGGTAAGAGTGCTAACTTTTTGAGGAAGTGCTCTTTTTTCTTAACTCACATAGAACAAGCCTTACCTAAGGTGTTAAAAGTGAACCTGGCTCATGTCCAGGGTCCCTCCCAGTGTCAGAGCTCTTGAAAACGTAATCACCCTTCAGAAGGAAGGTGGCTGTGTGCTAAAGGCCCTTCAGGGTCCCTCCCAGTGTCAGAGCTCTTGAAAATGTAATCACCCTTCAGAAGGAAGGTGGCTGTGGCCAGGGTGCCTTGCTAAAGGCCCTTTGTGTTGAGAGGAGTGGGATTGCGTGGAATGCATCTTCTTGAGGCAAAAGGCTTGTTCAGCTTTGTGTGCAGTCAGGATGTGACCTCTGAAGAGCTCCACACTGACAAAAGTGGCTGACTTAAAACGGGTGGAGTGATGCTTGAAGTGAAAGAGATTCTCACAGCAGCAGAAGCTGCTGAGCACTTGGCAGATAGTGGACATCCACTGTGATAACAAGAACATTTGTGTTTGTGTGTAGAAGAGAAGGATAGTAACAGCAGCAGGTCTTTCAAAAAATTAAATCCTAATGTATAACCAAAAGTAGATTATTCTTTGTGGGTTTGGTCAAAATTTGTTATAATTTCCTGGATGTTTACACAGATTGTTTTCTTGCAGGAGGAGGAAACTGTGAATAGATCACCCAGAAACAGAAAGCCAAGGAAAGATTGAAAAAAGTCATAAGAACTTGATCTGTGATTTTTTTTTTTTCTTTTTTTTTTTTTCCCAAACTTGGTTCTGGGAGAGGACCTTGGACACCTTACACTGAAACTTGGATAAACCTCAAGTTTTCACCATTCGCAGGTTCCAGTCACACTATCCAATGTAATGGAGTGTCTAGCAGTAAAATACTTGCAATCATCTGTTTTAAAGAACATCATTCCTGTAGAAAGAATGCATTTAATATTATGGGCTGTGGATTTTGGAATGTAACATAACTAACCTTTTCATTTTTGGTTTTAAATATTCTTTTCTGTTTTTAAGTAGATGGATAGAACTTTTCCGGTCTCAAACCTTGGCTTAATTTAATATATTAATTAGTGAAAAATAACAATGAATCTTGAAAGTGCTAGTTGATAAAATGCAGTTTTATAACTAGATTTTTTTACAAATATGTAAATTCCTAAATGCACCAATGTCTTTATATCCCTTAAAATTTGATAATTGTTTAAAAAAAGAAAGTTGTCAATGTATTTGACAATCCCTTTGCCCTCAAAAGAAAACTAGGGGAGGGTTGGGGGGGTGTGTATGGGGAAACCAGTAGTGAAACTCTCTAATCAATCACCTTTATGCTTTTGGGGGGAGGGGAAAGAGGAAGGAGGGGGTTAGTCTATAGAATATGCATCCTGTGCATGGCTAAAGCCCTGTTAAGTGTTGACAAACGATCTAGGATTTGGAGTGGGTCATCTTAATGTGGCATTTGATCCTGCAGGCCTTGCAGATAATGTGTTTTGTTAGTTATCCAAGTCTTTTTGTAAAGCTTCTGGGCTGTTGGGGAGGAGGGGGCTGTTAGGCTACTTCCCCCTTTCCCCTCTGCTCAGCCACTGTTGCTTTCCTTTCTCTGTGAGGACACAGCTTTTCTCTGAGCGCAGCTTTGCCTCAGCTGCTGAAGCGCTTTGTGCTCCGCTCATCATCCGAGTCTGTTTTTGTAGCTAGGCCTCCTCCTTTCCAGGGTCCAAACACTGGATAGGACAGTGTCCCATCTCCTGTCACTGTTCTCACTGTATGTCTACTCGTGTAGAAATGGGGGAGGGAGTCAGGTAGACAAGCTGAATGAGTATTTGTTAAGGAAAAAACAAAAAACATAAAAAAATACCCAACCACAAACCAACCGAGATGTCAGTATTGTAGGTGGGGGAAGGAGCATGTGGAATATCTTAACTGGTATGTGAAACTTGTTTAAGTCTTATCTGCTCTTCATGTAACAAATGCATCCTAAATTATATTGTGAATGTTAGGGAGTTCCAATTCCAGCTGAATAAATTTTTTTAAAGCGTTGAGTCTACCATATTATACTGTTTCAAACACTTTTTTTTTTTTGGTGTGTGGAATGCAGGTGATCACTACAAGAGCATACCTCTGAGGGTGAAATCTATGTAACTTCATTACACTGTACCAAATATGTTGGCGTTTGGATGTCTGTATAGATAAATTTCTGCCTTTGTTTAGAGTGAAATTAAATGTCCTGAAATTACTTTTCTTGCACTGAATTTAAACACTCCAGTGTTGTTTGGTCGTAGCATAGGTATAGTGTGGAGAATAATTCCCAGGGGGTGGGGAGGGAAGAGTGTTCCAGTGACCTTGCAAACAATCTAACCAATTACTAAAAGACTCTTGTTTTTTGGTTGTGGTTTTTTTTTTTTTTTTGTGAAACACCTTTTGCTGCCTGTCCTTATGTTGTATCCCTTGGTTGTTGTGTTTGAAATATTAGTGATCACAAATGCATAGCAGGACTTCTTCATCTTTCTGCCGTGTGCAAATAAACTGTTGTAAGCAAGATACTGGAAGTAATTTCAGACTTCTCTTGGGAGCTACTGCATGTTTAGAATGCCTGTGCCTGTTGAACACCTGGTAATTACTGCTCCTAATTGCAAAAATAGCTTATACTCTGACATGGAAGATGTCATGGCTTAAGCATTGCTACTAGCTTGTTCTCAGGACTGTATTTTTATCAAGGAGCAGCTGCTATTTATGACTCTCAGTCCTTTGAGATGAAGTATATGTAAATGGTTTCAATTCAGCTAACATTTTGAGCACAACATAAAAATATATTAATCTAATGTGTTTTTTTTAATCTTAAGATGCAAATTGCCTTAAATTCCCAAACAATTCATGTGCATACATGTTCTTTAAAAGCATCAAGTGAACCTAAGACCTGCTATTAGCTTTTAAATAGTATTATATTAAAGCTAATTGTAAATTGACATTTGCTTCTGCTAAACCTCCTGGAAAAGGTCTCCTGTCTGCATGTTATAGCTTCTTTTGATACCATCGTGTATGCTTCTTAAATAATCACTACAATAAATGAAGACTTTCCAAAATGGATAGACAACTCCAAAGTTACTTTTTATCCTGCTTTTTCTGATCTGGGTGGCTCAGTTTAACCTCAGAATTGCTTTTATTTTCAAAGCCTTGGAGGAAATCTGCTTTATCCTGAGTACTTTAGTGCTTTGAAAACATAGCTTCGCTTTAAAAGCTTTACCTGTTTGTAACCTGTCAACTAGGTTTGTAACTGTTAACACGTATTTGAAGGTTTATTTGGGCCTCTTGTGTCTGTGTACACAAGAGTGGCAGCTTCTGAAAAGGATGGTCTGCTGAGCTGAAGGAGCTGCAGCTGGAGCGGGGTTGTGGGTGTGAGGTGTTAGACTGAGCTGGCAAAGCAAAACAAAACCCCAGGGGAGAGTAGGTGCAGACCGGGGCTGAAAAACAAGGCAGCTCTCCCTGCAGTTGGCGCTCCGGGAAGGGAGCTAACCAGGCAACCTGCTCCAGAGGCAGCCCTGCGGGGGCTCTGGCCTTTCCTCCCCTGGCTAATGCCAGCGTGAGGCTGTGACCGATAAACCGCAGGGTGAGCGTCCGTGTTCTGAGGTTGCCTCCTGGCTGAGGAGGGATTGATGCTGGTTGCTGGTAGATGTTCGTGTTATCCGTGGTCCTCCCACTTCTTCCTCAAAGGCAGCGCTCCCCTCGGGCTGTCCTTGCGGATGTGGGGCTTGTGAGCACTCTCTCCATCCCAAACTGTTCCCTTAATGGCTTCAAAAAGGGTTGGTTGGTTGGGGTTTTTTAGTGTTGCTGTATCAGGACTGTGATTTCAGTTGCAGAAAAGACCTGTCGTTTCCAAAAAGGTAACTCTAGATGCAACTTAGAAAAAAAGATAAGTATGTAAAAACGAATTAATAAAGAAACTTAAGTCCGTTTGGCTTTCTTTGTCTAATTAAGCAAAACTGCCTCAGGCCTCATTGCTTCCAGGTGCTGGAGAAGTGCCGGCAGCGGC